CCAGTCCTGGTCTCTCCTGCCAGGTGACCTTCAGGGGTAGGGGAGCATCTGGTAAGGCTCCATGGTGGAGGCAGCCTTGGCTGGCACTTGAAGGACTGGAAAATGGGGGGACAGAGAAATGGGGAAGGAAGGTCTAGGGTAATAGAGGGGCACTGGCCAATGCACAGGCTCGGGGCTAGGGGAGCAAGGCCAGAGTGGTGTGTGCAAGGCCAGAGGGCGCTGTGGCAGCAACAGACACCAAGGGCTGTCGCTCACCACGCACTTCTTTCCCTGGAGCTCCCAGAGGCACGATGAGGAGCAACCCTTCTCCTCTTCCCCCTCCACTGTCCTCACCCATGGAAACCATTTCTCTTGCAGATTGTCCAGGGCACTGTGGGGGGGGGCACTCACAAGAGGCATTTCCTGCACTTGAATTCTGAAAGTTTGGGCATAGGTTGAAGGAGGTGTGGCTCCTTTGGAAGCTTGCCTAAGCACTGCGACCAAAAACTGGACAGGCCATTTGGGAGTGGGGAGGGCTGCAGAGTCCACAGTGGGGCTGGAAGATAGCCAGATAATGAGGTGCTGAAGGTGGAGACTGAGAAGTGAGATGACTCCCCCGCTCTTCTCCCGGCCTTATTTATCCTCCCTTTCTTCCCACGTCCCTCACACTGAGGAGATGGGAGTTGCCAAAGGAGCCCAGAGGAGCTGTAGGCTGGGAGCCTAGAAAGACAGGGAGATGAACTCCCCATAACACAGGCCAGGGTCAGCAGCCCTTATCCCATGCTTGCCTAGCTGGAACGAGGGGTTCACTCTTCCCCACTGGGACTGCAGGTGGCAAGCGAAGTCCCTCCCCTCCAGCTGAGGGGACTGTAGCCCCGGAGGGAGGGAATGCCTACCCTTTCCACAGTGCCCTTGCCAGGCTTGTGTGCACATTCTACAGGAGCTCCTTAGACTAATGGCTTAGCCACTCAGTGCCTCCGTTTTCTCTGCTATGAAATGGGTCTGTGGTGCAGACTGAGAAGAGGTGAGGTTTTTTTGCAATGATTGGCACATGGGAAGCCCTCTCTATGACTTTGCCGGCATTACGTAGCTCTGTTCCCTTACGTAGGTCACTCTCCCTTTCTGAGTCCTACCTTCTTCATCTGTAAAAATGAAGGGGTTTAAGGTATTGGATGACCTCCCAGACTTCCGCCAGCTTTGACCTTGTAGAATTCTATATGTCTTAGGGAGGAAGAACAAAGGTGGCTGTCCTGTGAAAACTGATGAGGGGGAACTGTTACCCCAAAAGATTAACTGATCTGGCTGGAATCACACAGCCAGTTCTTGGCAAAGCCAGGGTTGGCATCTGAAGCTCTGAACTTGGACTTTCACGCCACTGGACTAGCTGAGCTGTGGCCTGTCACTTCTTGAACAGTCAGGGAAGATCAGAAAGCATTTGGTTTGCACAGTGGGAAAAGAATGAAATGAAGGTTCTGGCAGCCTCTGGTGTAAAGGCGGACTGGCCCAGACCCACGTAAACCAGCACAACCCAACGGTGGCCTTACTTGCCGGCCACGGCTCCCATTTTCTTGCAACGCATCCGTTTCTTCTCCCAGAGCTGCTGCCTATAGATCCCTGTGGCAAGCCCTGAACTTCCTTGAGAGGGCAAACTGAAGCACCCGCACTGTTTGCTGGAAACCCAACAAAGCCCTGTTTTCAGCAGGCGCTCTGTACTCACCGCCCCACTCAGTGTGGCCTGGCAGGTAGGAACCTGAGACTCAGAAGGGCCAATGAAAGACCTTGCCAGGCTGCCCAGCAAACCTGGATAGAAGCAGGTTTAGGACTGGAAGCCAGGTTTCTGGGCCCCCTTGTATAAAAAGGAACCACGAGTGCCAGGTTAAGTCTCCTGGGTAGCAGGAGGGTCTGAAACTTCAGACAAGGGTTCCCAGGTAAGGAGCTAATGATAGGTGCTTAACACCTCTGGAGAGGTCTCTTGGTCTGCTGCCCGAGTGAAAGCCGCCATGAGGGAGAATGCAGCAAGTTTAATCTGTCCCTGAGGAGGCCTTGTGTGTTGCCTAGGCGACTGGAGGTTTCCAGGGACCGAGGCACACTCAGCATAAGGAAGCAGACCCCCTTGTAGGAGTGGAGTAGCTAGACCAAGCTGAGGCTAGATCTAGGCTTGGGGCTGAACTCCCCAATTAGCAGCTCTGCATTTGAGGAAGTGAATCAGCCTCCCAGAGCATATTTCACCCTCTATAAATTGGGTACAGTGATTGCTCTGTTTACTTCTCAGGGCTAGAGAGAGGCTTAGTGGAAATAATAGCAGCTCCCACTTAGTAAGCTGGACTATGGGCTGGACACTGCAGCAAGTGCTTTACCTGCATTCTGGTGTGCAGTCCTGACCACAGCTCCATAAAGCAGGCAGCAGCATACTGCCCAAGGAGGAGACGTGGGCTTATTTGGATCAAAGCCTTGCTTCAAGATCACACAGATGAGTAAATGCATCAGAATTTGAAGGCTTATCTAACTCCAGATTTCCCCTTCCACTGAAAAAACTTTGCTAGTATGAGTATTATCAGAAGCTGGTACAGAGGCCATACCACAACCAGTTTATGAAGCTCCCTTAAATCTAGACCTTGCTGCAGAATATAAACCTTCCCTTCAGGTCCCAGGCAAAGGTTCAAGGGCTGAGTTGAAGGGCTTGCTGATGCTTCATTTGAGACCGGGTTGGGCAAACTCTGACCTGCCACCTGTTTTCACAAAGTTTTGTTGGAACACAGCCATGCCCACTGTCCGTGGGGTTTCTGCACCACAACAATGGAGTTGAATAGGTGGGACGGAGAATACATATCTCCACACTCAAAGTTGAAAATACTGCCAGGAGTGCTAGCACACACCTGTAATCCCAGCTACTCAGGAGGCTGAAGCAGGAGGATTACAAATCGGAGGCCAGCCTGGACATCTTAGTAAGACCCTATCTCAGAATAAAATGTTAAGAAAAGGGCTAGGGATGTAGCTCCGTGGTAGGGTGCCCCTGGACTCAGTCACCAGTGCAAAACAAAACAGAATAAAACAACCTCTTGCCCTTAACAGAAAGAAGTTTGCTGACCTGATTTGAAACATTCAAGGAAGTGCCCTGGATGCAGCTCAGACCTTTGGCTGACGTCCAAGGCAGCAACTGGGGGAGTGTCTTGCCAGGCTCCCTCTCGGAGCACTGGACATGAAGGGAAAAATGTCTGAGGAGGAGCACTGGCAAGGCCTTCTTTGGGGGTTCCCAGGAACTGCTGACTAGGAAGGGAAGACACTGAGTAAGTCTTTGCCGCCATCTTCTTTGGCAGTGAGCTGCACAGGTTCACTCTCGTCAGAAAAAAAACTTGGATTGAGACGTTTCACCTGAGTAACATTTAGGTCTGAAAACCGGAATTACATAAGCACCTCAAAATGGTGGCTCAGGCCAGGGCCTAAGGCTTCCTCAGTTGCAGAAGAGGAGGCAGCTGGGGTACAAGTGAGCCAGGGCTCATGGGAGAGACTTTGAGGCAGCTATGGCTCATTTGATGCCACAGCCAGGCGGCTTGAAGACGGTGTGTGGGCTGTGTCCACTTGACACCCTAAACTCTGTCCTTTTAGAGGCTGCCTAGTTTCCGGACGGGTTTGAAGCAGTGTTGTTTTTCAGGTTCTCTCCCTGTACCCTTCAACCTCTCTGTCCAGGACCTCTTGTCTAGAAACAGTTAAGTGAACCCCTTCTGCTTTTACCAGAGCTCTGCATTTTGACAAATAGCTCCATACTGATTCTGTTGTTTATTTGGTCAAGCCAAGGCATCTCCAGAGGCTGACAACCTCCACATCCTGCTCTCTTTCGGTTTGACATCTAATTATCTTTACAAGGGCCACAGGCTTCCGTTCCCCTCATCCCCTGCTCCAAGGAGCTCAAGCTTGTGTCCACTCCCTTGCACCCAGTTGACTACATATGCCCTGTGGACACTGGTGGCTGCTCCTCCTTCCACGTTCACCCCTCCACTGTCCTGCGTCCCTCTGCCACACCTAGCCAGATGTTGTTGGGCCATCTAGACTCAGCTTTGGTCACTCAACCTCCATTCACTGTCCCCAATCCCACCATGTTGCCTTACCTTCCAAACTTCTACTGTACTTGTTGCGAAAACCAAAGGCATTTAGTGTTTCTCTCTAAGGTTAGGGGACCTTTTGTACTATTGTAGAGCTCACATCCTAGCATTTGAAGATTAGATTCTAGATTACTTACAAGCTATGAGACCTTGGGCAGGTTGCTTCTCCTGTCTTAGATTCTTTTCTTGACTATAAAATGGGACTATGGTCTTCATGGTCCATTTGTCAGGATGACAAAATGAGTTAATATTTTTAAAGGACTATAAACTGTTAAAGACCTACACACCTATAGGTGAGTATTAAGTTTTTCTGCCCCCACCACCATCCCTTTCTCCTCAGTTTCATGTGAAATTAGAGCTTTGGGATTGATTAGGGAAATTTCAGACCAACGAACATACAGCCAGCCTACCCAAAACCTCTGCCAGAATCCGGTTCCTCTGACAACCAGTATACCTAAAAGTCAAACTAGCCATTTTAAAATAAGGAGTTTTGTACCAGTTTTTCCTGAGAGTCACTTCCAATATAATGTCATATTTTAAAATCACTATATCCCAATTTGCAGCATTTTGTCAATGAGATAGTTTTGTGTGCTTTGGGGTGACTATTTCTATTTTATCTCCTGTTGAACATTTTATGACTTTTAGCAAGTTTGTCTGAAGACATTTTCTTTAAAATTATGTATTTTAAGCAATAAATGCTTATTAAATCTGTGGAATTCCCCCCACCACAAGATTTATTGAATGCACCCATTTTGATCACTTCTGTCTCCTTCTCTATGGGTTTTGCACTGCACTGTCTATGCCTGCGTGCACCTACTGGGCTTATTAACCAAATTAGCATGTACCCAACATTCCTTTCTGCTCCGCAAGATATTGACATTTTGACAGCAAGCATGAAGAAGTGAGACAGATGGGACAGAATTGCATTGAACTCCTTGCATTTTATTTTTCAGGCTAACTCATTCATCAAGCAACTCCACTTTGTGAAACAGAAGATGATACATACAAAGTCATTACCAAATGTATTTATTGCTGAAAACATAAGATCTTTCAAGAAAGGCAGACTGGCTAAAAAGTCCTGACAGTGTTCAAAAGGAGACAAAATAGAAGACACCCACCAAGACTACAAAACAACTTTTAGTAGAAATCCTATCTTTAATCAGTATGTTCTTAAATAAATTGCTTTTTAAAAAATCCTTTCAATGACACTGCTAAAAAATTTAGGACATTCAAACAAATGCCAAAAGACTTAAAAGTGGGCTGAATTTTATTTGAACAGGTCAGTAAGTTGAAAGGTTCCACTTGCAAGCGTGTGGTAAATCAGTTTGAGGCCAGCTGACCTAGAACCGATTTGGGGTGCAAGCACTTACCTCCTTGCACATGCAATCTGTGGGCACAGAGACAACCATAGCCCTCAGGGGAAAGAAACGCCCCTCCTGAATGTGACCTCCAAGAGTAAGGGCAAATTCTCAGCTTTTAACTCTTTATTATAAAGACATATTTACACAGAACAATCTTTACAAACACAGTGAACACAATTATGGGGGACAATTTCTTAATGAAAAGGACCTTAATATCTTTGTATAAATTAGTATAAGAATCACACACAACCACTTTAAATAAGACAACACCTTGCCCCACTCCCTACCCTCCTCTGCCTATGTCCCCCATCTTTCCCAGCCATCGTCCTTTTCTGTCCCTTTCCCCGTGGGGCTGGGCTTGGCTATAGGTCATGGCAGGTTGATGAGGGACCGGATGCAGAAAGGAGGAGGAGAAGGAAGGTGGTCAGGTCCCTGATGGGGCTACCAGTGGCAGAGGAGACTTTCTGGACACTGGCCAGGCCCTGCTCCATGCCCAGAGGGGTTGCAGGCTATGCCCAGCCCAGCTTCCCAGGGTGGCCGTGAGGTGCAGCAGTAGCAGCAGTAGCATCAGCATTAGCAGCAGCAAGGGAAAGGAAAAGACTGGGGGGGGGCATAGGCAAACATCCGGGTCATTGTGGGACTTGGGGGGCCCTGACTCCCCCTGCCCTCATGCATTCGTAGGTGAGCATCAGGCTTCTGTTTTCCTTTTTGTCCTTCTTGGGAGGCCAATGAGAAGCAAGGCTGCTCAGGCAAAAGCCAAGAGAGTCCACCTTCGGAGGAGGCTGTGGAAGGCCCCTTGTGAAAGACAGGGCCTCTTGGGAAGGGGTGCTATCCCACCCGCACATCCTTCCTATCTCTCTTTCCTTCCTTCTCCCTTCCTTTCCCCCACTTTTCCACTCTCTGCCCTCTGCCTGCCCCTAGAAAGACCACTAGGGAGGAATGTCCAGTCCACCCAAAGCAGAGGCGATTCAGTCAATTATTTAAGACTGCCTCTGGCTCCTGACAAGCAGTGCTGGGGTCTGAATATTAGTCCCAGGACCTGAGCTGTCCTGTTAAAGTGCTCCAGGCCCAAGAGCACTGCTGGCCACTCGTGCAACCTTCCATCCTGTGGAGAGCAGGGAAGGCCAGGGAGATGGGAGCACCTCCATCTTCCCAAAATGGGGCAGTTCACAGCCAGCTTGCTTCTCCCTGCCCTTCCCAGCCACTCCACCATAACCTCAGCAAAAGGCACTTCACGTGTTTTGAGAAGACATCATCAAGAGGGAATAAGGTATCATAAAGCAGGACTTGGGAGACCTGGACCCTGTTCTGGCTCTGCCGTGACCCTGAGCAAATCACTCTCCTCTCCAGGCCTCTGTCATCACAGGCTTTTTTATATAAGGAGGCTGAGCTGAGTGACCTCCAACAGTCATTTCAGCTCTGATATTTTATGATTCTTGGCCGAAGCTACCTTTTTGCTCGGCTTTTACCCGTGGGAGGGTTTACAGCCATGTCGGACCCAGCACCCTCCCCTCTTGAACTACCATAGCTGCTGAGTTGCAGGTGCGGGGAGGGGCGGGGTAGGAAACACAGTGTGACAAAGTACTTCCTGGGCTGCTCATTCACCTCTTCCTTAACTGGGCCAGACACGGGGATGAAGACCGGGCCACAGTGCTATTCTTTCCACTTCTGCTGTGCTTCAACCCCTTCACCAGGGCACCATGTACTCTGCTCCAGTGTGCCATGCACCTTCTTTCCCCACACCTACCCCTCTAATTAGACTCTCTCCTTGTGCATCTCTGATCGCTCTCTGGAGGCCAAGTGCGGGATCCACGTACAAGCAAGCAAGGGTTTACAGGAGCCCATTAAGGAAGGGAGTGTTTTCCACCCAAATCCCAGGGAAGCCACAGGAGGGCGGGTCCAGTAGGGGGTGGAGGCATTACATGGGCTAGGTAGGGGGCAGAGAATGTGGTGGGCTAGGACAGGCTGGTTCTCCAAAGTTAGTCCAGGGAGAGGCCAGGAAGATGGGCTTAACGGATCCTTATGAGAGAAATGGAATCATCAGAGTGAGGGGTGGGACCACGCCGGTAGACGAAGCTGGTGGGTGAGAAGAGCCAGGACCATCAGCAGCTAGAACAGGCGCAAGACGACAGCTGACTGGATGTGAGGGCTCCGGGGAAGCAGACCGATCTGTGGAGTAGAGAAAACCACAGTGCGCTGGCACCTGGGGGACCCTTCAGTCCTAATGAGACAAAAATGACAGGAGAGAAGTCAAGGACACATCTTAGGTCAAAGAAACTCCTACAGGAAAGAAGAGAAAATAACCTTCACTCTACTCCTCCATCATTAACCCTGAACTTGAGCCTAAAGCCCAAGGCCCTGAGTTGGTGTCCCTCCGGGCCAGCCACAGTGGGAGCAGTGGCAGGTCTGGCCTCAGGTACAGGTGTGGGCTCTGCTCTTTCTGTAGCCACCTCTCTCCTTCCCCAGCTCTGGAGAGCCGCAGCCACAGCTTTCCTCCTGCCCTCGGCCTGGAAGCTCTATGACCCTCTGCCTTTTTCCTCCTCACCCCTGGACCTAACAAGGGTCCACACCGGACACCTGTGGTACACCCTGAGCACCCCTCCCCAGTCAGTGTCTCCCAGGATTTCCAGAACTCTCCAACAGGCTAGCCTGCCCAACCCCAGGCAGCAGGAGAGAGGGGAGACAGCGCTGATCTGGGGACTCAGGAGATCCACCCCAGGCGTCAAGCCCTTCTCCGGGCCTCGGGCTCCCCTCTGTGAAGCAAAGGCACGAGACAAGTGCTCTACAAACTCTCCAGCAGCTCTAAGACCCGAGGTGCGTGTGGTGCCAGGACTGCTTGCTGGATATGTCTGCCCAGTCATAAGTGGCAGGGTCACGAGCTTCTAGGCTGCACCTGCCCGTACACTTTAGCACCGCCAACTGACCAGGGGCTCCAATAGGTACCTACTTCAGAAAGGCATGGGGCCCTTATGGGAGAGGCGGGGCCGCTGGCGACGGAACTTCCTCCGGCCCCCCTGCCAGGGTGCTGGTCCATTCCTTGAAGCCCTGGGCTGTACCAGGTAGCGAACACTGCCTTCCTCCAGCCCTGTCCCATCAGGAGGCTGCATCAGGGGCACTGTAGGAAGGAAAAGACCTGTGAGCAAGGAAGGGTGATGGAAACAGTTGGAGGCCTGGGAGGGCCATTTCTCCATGAGGTGGCACTCCTTGTAGCTTTTCTTTTTTACCCTGTTGAAAACTGTGGCAATTATACACTGCCCTGGAGCAAGCAGAACCCACTACTTAGATCTTGCCATTGAGGTAGCTGATTTTATGTCCTCTTGACAGTTAAAACACGTTCTGACAGGCACCCACAGGTTCTTCCTTTGGAACACTGTTGGGAGTGCACTTTGGGACATCAAGGCTGTACTTGGCTAGGATGCAGGAGACAGTAACCCCCATGGCGCCCATGGAACTGGTGTCCTTCAAACATTTCACATGAACACCATCACAATGACTCCCCCTCTATGGTCCCATCACCCCGATTCCACGGCTTTTGAGATGGAGTCATACATGCTTCATTATCCCTTTTCTCTTTTCTAGGCTGCAGTATTCTAAAGCAAATCCTGAATATCATGTCATTGTACTCCTACGTACTGCAATAGGCAGAGTGACCCTCTTTTGACTACTAGAGATCTCGCACCTCGCCCCTGGGTATACTATCAGTGGTTATGCATCTCTCAGCCTCGCTCCTGAGGCTTCCCTGGAGTGTGGCTGGAGTATTTGACTCAGCCTGCTTTATGCGTGGATATACTCAGCCTGTGACGAGATTTAGAGGCTAAGAAATATTGCATGAATGAGGGAATGAATGAATGAACCGTAAGTCTGTGCACCAGGACAGGGGTGGGATGTTGCAATTGCCCTGTCTTCCATCATTCCCGGGTCACACCTCCCATCCTATATCTGATGTAAGTTCCATTTCAACCCCAAGTGGCTTCTGCTCTTCTGAGGCTTCTCTCTATATCCGTTCACATCTGGCTTAGAGTAGAAGTCTCCTGATGCCAGCCTAAGCCCTGGCAATGAAAAGTGGTGACGGGTATACTTGGGTATGATAAGGAAGAAGGCACTCTTGGTAAGTCTCACAGAGCCTGCAGTCCAGCCGGAGAAGCCAAGTTGGCACACGGTGGCAGGCAGTGTGGCGAGATGAGATGGCGCTGGAGAAGAGGCAGATGTGCAATACCCAGTTTGGGGTTGGCCTGCAGAACTGTGGCGTCTGAGGCTAGTGTTAATGAGTACCAGTCTCTTCCCTCGCACCATCTGATCTGCCTTCAGCTGTATCCTTGTCCCTCGAGCCTCATTGCCATCCATCCAGGAATCCCCAGCACTAGCTCACAGTTTCCATACAGCCTCCCATTGGCTGCTCCTCTTTCCCCCCTCCCCTGCCTCCAACACCCCCATGCTCTGGTTCCTCCTTGGCTTTTGTGAGTTCTCCACCGCTTGCACACAATTTCCAGGCACTTAGCCTCTTCTTCGGCCAAAAGTGGGCAAGGTGTGTCCTTGGGGCCCACTTTGCCCAGGCTCCAGGGCCTGCTGTTCTTTCTCCTCATGCACACTCCCCCTGCACATGTGTATTCTCTAACCCTCCACCCTCTTCCCTTCTTCTCCACGTAGAACCACCAGGCCCAGTAGGACCCTATGATTTACCAAATTCACTTGGTTAACTTAGCCACACTTTGATGCTGATGGTCAGGGTGGATTGATGTGTCAATTCAGTCTCTAAACTTACAATTCACAGGAATTAAAACAAAAATTCTCTTAGTGCTTCGGAGCAGGATGGATGGCCAGGTCAAGGAGGTGACTTCTGTCTGGCTGATCTAGAGCTCCCCTCTGGGTGCCATCTGTGAAGGAGCTGGGGCTGGGGCTCGGGAAGAAGCCCTTCTTTAAGCTCCCAACCCAGCTTCTCCACCCCAGGCCCTGAGCTTGCGTGTCCTCTCAAGGTGTACCCTGTGTCCTACAGGTGGACCCAAACACTGCTAATGCGGAGTCAGTACCAGAGACACACTCAGGGTGCAAAATGGTAGGCACCATACTGGGCATGTGGCCAGGCACAGGGGGAGGTCCCTAAGGGCCTTGAGAATGCAAGTGAAGCCTTGGATCTCTTGTCCATGCCTTGAACTACTAGAGGAGGTGCTACAACGGCACAGCAGGCACGGGGAAAAGAGGCCCAGCTTTGGGAAAGGGACAGTGTCACCCCCATGTGCTTGCACCCAAACCTGTGTCTGGGGCAGTCAGGAAGGGAGGGCTAGGGGAAGGGCCCTATGGGGAGGGAGGTCAAGAGCCAGGATGGGGAGCTGGGATGATGGTTCACACTGTGGCCAGGAAGGTGCCTACACTCCAGGCCGGCAGAGAAGAGCCACCCTGAGCTCACTGAGTACCAGCCAGGCCCTGGCCAGCAGCCACCCAGAAACGCTTTGCCTCTTGCCTCCCATTGACTAGCGGGCTCCTTGTCCTCATCACAGGAAGTCTGCGGGCTTCTCCTGCTCGCTGCACCCATCACCCACTTGTTTCCTACTCTTGCTGCTGAGGCTGGCTCAGTGTTAGATAAGCTGACACCCGAAACCCTGGCTTTGTCCTGTCCAAAGGGACGAATTAGAGGCCATTGATTCTCATTATGGCAGAAGTCCTTGCTGTACAAAAGAACTCCCCTTTAGAAATGCGGGCCATCCCCAGTGCACTTCGTCATTTCCCTAACTCATTTGCTGTTTAAAGGGAGGCAGGAGCCAGTTGATCAAGAAGCTCAAGCCTGGAGGGATTGGGGTCACTGCCCACTGAAGCACCTCCAACAATGAAGCAATGGCATCCCCACGCTGTACCCCGGTGGAGATGGGCCCCAGTGGGAAAGGGAGAACTAGATTCGCTTTTCATAAACCCCGAACTCCAGCCCAGTGCGCAGAGGTACATACTTGTGACTTTTCAGGAACATCCCACCCTCAGCAGGAAGGGCACACCTGCTTTCCCTCTCACAGTCTGGCCTATCTTATGATTGCTTTAAAAGTCCACATTTGTGTTCTGATGAGGACCCCACTGGCAACGTCCCCTCCACTGTTCTGTGGCGCTGCATGTGTCTCCAGGATGAGGAAGCTTTCCCTTGTCTGATCAGCCTTCTTCTGCCCCACTGCTCTTCCCCAGGGCCCTGTGCTATCTCTTGGTACCAGTTTTGCTGTCCTGGATACATCAGGCTCTGGCAGCCTGGCCCTCCTCTTGACTTCCTTTAGTCCTTTGCCTCTGAAGGCCTGGCTGAGGTTACATGGGTGCTTAGCACTTAGAAAGGGGAATGTACTACAATGCAAAAGTAGATTACCTTGCTTTATTAAAAACAAAATTTGGCCGGGGGTGGCAGCACATGCTTGTAATCCCAGCACTCGGGAGGCTGAGGCAGGAGGATTGTTGCAAGTTCGAGGCCAGCCTGGGCTACAAAGTGAGCTCAACGCCAGCTTGAACTGCACAGTGAGACCCTGTCTCAAAAGACAAAAAAAAAAAAAAAAAGAGAGAGAGAGAGAGAGAGAACGTGAGGAGAGAGGAAGAAATATGGTCTTCAGGCCTGGAACTTTGGTGACCTGGGCTGAGCAGAGTGTGTACAACTGGGCCAAGGACAAAGTAATTTGGGGGCCCCTATTTCTAGGGCAGAGGAGCAGGATAGGACATGTGCACCTGGACCCTTGGCTGGTGGCCACCTCTGGGGACATGTCCTCCTTGGCTGCAGGAAAGGTCAGAGAGCAGAAACACAGTGGAAGCTCTGGAAGTTTCCAGCAATTAGCTTAAGCAAAAATGTAAGATGCTCTCTATGTACCACATGCGAACGTGCCGAATCTGGGCTGTCCAGATGACTTAATGAACAAGGGCGAATAGAAGCAAGAAGTGGCCGGGTCTGGGCCAGAAGCTCACAGCATTCTGGCAGCCTGGCCAACTTCACCTCCCTTGAAATTAGCTCTCTGCCTTACTAGTACTGCCCCAAAGGCTGGCCCGCCAAAGCGTTCACATGGTGTCTGTTGGCCAAGAATCTCCTAGTGGCCTCCGGACGAGCACCAGCTATGCAGATCTGCAAACCCCAGTTTCCTCTGGGACACTCTTCCTGCGCCCACTCTTTATTCCTTGAAGGTGCCACCATGGGCTATTTGCCTGTAGCGCCAATTGTGCAAGTGTCTCGTCTCGCTAACTATACTGGCTCCTGAGGAACAGGCCCCAGTGGTGTCTTTATTCATACCTTTTGCTCCCTTCCCGCCACTGTGCACCTGGCAGGGGCTTCTGAGGAGAAAGCTTGCTCCCTTCCCCCAGCAGGTGGCTGGCTCAGTGCTGGGGTCCTGAACAGGGCTCGCTGGAAAGCTACCTGGAGTCAGGAGGAGTTAGAAGGCAGGCAGCGCTCCCAGTGCAGGGGAAGTGCCCAGGAACAAGAGCAGAAAAAGGAGGTGGCCTTCGAAGAGGCCAGCAGCATTGGCAGCCCCCCAGAGGCTCCCGGGCTGTGAGCCATCCTGTTCTGCAGGGTTGGGAACCAAGTAGGGCCCTGTGCCCTTCCTCTAGGAAACTTGCTGCTCTGCCCTCTTCGTCCCTTGGCTTTCACCTCCCTTCGACTCCAGCCCTGGCACTGGCATCAGTCCACCTGGTCTTAGCCTTCTCCTTCTGTGGTGCCAGGCAGGCAGCAGTGACAGCCAGATCACAGGACCGCGGGACCTGGCAGCCCCAGGAGACACTGACGCACGGAGCGCAGGCAGCCTGGGCAGGGGCTTCTGGAGCACGGGTGGAAACCGGCTTGGGGCAGGCAAGTGGCCACAAGTGCCAAGTATTGTCAGGTGGGGGCAGGCACAGGCTCAGGGGGAAAAGACTCCCCTTGCCTGAGCTGTATGGAGGTGTCAGGTCAGGTGCCTGCCTCGCTGGTTTGGTGCCTGAGACAGGGAGATGAAGGTGAAGTTTGCTTGTGCCTGGGACAGAGCAGAGGCTGGAACCAGGATGTGAAAGAATCAATGCCCTGGGGTGGGATGGAGGCTCAGGGGAGGGCCTCCTATGCAGAAGCAGAGGAGGAGACCAGAATGGACCTGGAGTCAGGGAGAAGACCGGCTGGCCCCGCGTGTGGCCCAGCCTGGGGGAGGCTGCCTCTGCTCACTTCCAGGCTGCAAGGAGCAACAGCTGGGATCCACGCTGCCGCTGCCCCCGCCCCGTGCTCCTGCCTATGCAACAAGTGTCACGTCTGCATGTTGGCACATCATTCCCTGAATGGGCCAGCGGCCCCTAGCTTCCAGGGGCCAGCAGACCTTCAACGTGAGGAAGATTAAGGTCCACGCAGCTCAGCTCAGTCCCCTCCACCGATCCAGGAGGGGACCAGGGCATGCTCCATACCCTCACCCCGTGGGATGCAGAGCGTGGGGCACCGGTACATGCCTGTGGCCCTGAGCACCTCGGACTGCAAGGGGAAGTCAGGAGGGGCAAGGCGCCTGACTCGTGATAGGAGAGGCCCCTATGGAACAGCCCTTCTCGGAGGAAGCAGTCCCCGAGGCCTGCAGCCCCTTAGCCCAGAGCTCCCTGTCAATCTGCTGCCGGCGCGTGGCTGCTCCTGCGCTGCTCGCGCCGAGCTCCCGGGAGGCGGGGAGAGCGCAAGTGGGGCGGAGGGAACAGAGCGCGCCGTCTGCAGCCCGGGGGAGCCGCAAGGAAGCAGGGGCGGGCGGCGAGCGGGCGGGCGCGCACTCACCTCCACACACCGCAGTCAAGGAGAGCCAGAGCAGCAGCAGCGCCTTCACGCAGAGCCGCAGATTCATGCTGCTCCTCGGACCGCCCGCTCTGCTGAGCCGGTGGGAGGGCAAGGAGGCCGGCGCCCCGGGCAAAGAAAGGCGCAAGCCGCAGCTGGCGCGTGCGGGCGCGAAGCAAGTGTGTGCACCCCAGCCGTGCCCTGGCTGCCAGCCGCCCGCCTGCTCTTCGCCTCGGCTCTCCTGCCGCGTCACTCGGCCGCCGCGGGGCAGCGCGGCGAAGCTGGTCTCAGAGGCTCCGGGGGCAGTGGCGAGCTTTTCCAAGCGACTGGCTTTGCTCTGCCTCAGCTCCAACTGCGCGTGGCCCAAGCTGCCAGCGAGAATGCTCCCCGCTCACTCCAAGGGCTGCATTTTGTAGCTTGTGGCTTGGCCGCGAGCCCACTTGGTCATGTGGTCATCGGGAGGTCTGGAGGGGGGGCCAGGAAGAGGGAGAGGGAGCAAGCCTCCCGCACCACCCCCTCCCGGCACGCACTGTGCGGCCCCAGCCAGGATTCGAGAGGGAACCCCGAGGTGGCCCCATAACAAAGGCTGCGCAGCCGGACAACGGACAACTCACAACCGCTCCTGGTACAATGCCCGCCTGGCCGGGGGCCCGAGGGTTTGCGAAGACCAGAAGGGTTTCAGACACAGGAAGCGTTCGGGGAGGTGGAGGGGCACGCTTAACTCTTTCTCACCTCGCTTCTTTAACCGCTGTCCGCAAACCCTGGCACTCAGGACCAGTTCGTCCCATCTTCTCTGACCCTGGCCGTGGTCCTTCCCCCTTGCTACTCTGCATCTCCAAGGATTTAGTCAAGACCCCCCAACACGGTGGTCCTCCTCTCCTAGGCATCCTCAGCCGGAATCAGATGAGGGGCCCTTGCCCAGGTTTGTGTTGAAGGCTTGATGAACTGCCCAGCGCCCTCATTTCCCCTGCCCTCTGGCAGGAGGCACTCTACCTGGAATGCCCCCAGGCGTGAGCTCCTCGTTCTCACAGCAGTCTCTCTACTCTCACCTGACTCAGAAACCTTCTCAAGACGACAATAATCCAGGAGGGGCTGCCCCTCAGTTCCTCCTCCCTGTTGGGACATGTGACAGCTCCTACAATGTCCCCTTTCTTGTTCTGGGGAGCTGTCCTCATCCAGTTCCCCGTCATCATAAGAGGAGGACAGTTTCCCCGACTCCACACAGTTTAGGCTGGATTCATTCCACATGTACTTGGGATTCCCCTTTTTAAGTGGGTTCTGAAGTCGCTTGCCTTTACATTCTTAGTCCTGACAATCCGGAGGCTCCTAAGGAAAGGGAGCGCCTCTTGCACTGGACTGGAATCCCCCTAAGACAGGACCCTGTCTTCTCATTCTTCTGGATCTCTCTGAAATTCCCAATATTGTGCTCCACACATAGGTGGCACTCAACACATATTAAAAGACTAAATCAAAAGATCTTTCCACCTTCCAGCAACTCAGGAAGTTTGCTTGAAGTACAAGTGCAGATTTACAAAAAAGGTACATTGGCTAGTGTTTTTGTGTGCCATAAAAGATGTGGGAAAACAAGGTATATTGTTCTAAAATATTTTTGACATTTTACGAAATTCCAATATATACATTATTTATTATCAGCCTCCCTCCAGCAGAATTGCTACTTCCACAGGAGAGGAATCTTTGCTTTGTTCATGGCTGTTCTTCCAGACCTACAACAATACCCATGATGTGATCTGTGCTCAAAATGTGATTTTGAATACATGGCTGAACTTTTCAAATACATCCCTATTTGCTGAATCAAGGGACTGGGGAGGGAATAAGAAAGGATTTTTGTTAATGATCTATGATCCCGTTAGCCACACCAAGTTTGCAAAAGGAATAGGAAGCAAACATCTTTTCATCTGAGAGACCCAGGCTATGAGCAGTGGGCATGGATAGCGTGAAATCGTTCTTCCTTTGCTGTTCCTCTGGAAAGTTTCAACTGGGAGGAGAAACCTGTGACCTCCAGGCTCCACCCTTACCTGCTGTAGGGGCTTTTTGTCACCTAAATTTGTTGGATTTTATGGGAATGCTAATCTCTGCCATACTCACTTCAGGGTTGTGATGGGATCAAATGAAGGAATGTACCAGAAGCCCTTGCAGAGTCATTTTTAGGAAACGTGGCCCAACCCTTGACTGAGTAAGCACATGCATACCCAACTACGTGTCCCTCATAACTGAATTAATATAGGCCTCTGTGCTTAATTGCTCCTTGACTAGGATGTGCATGGGTCATTGCTAAGTGGTTAGAGCACTGCTTTCCAATCCAGTAGCTACTGATCATGCTCTAAATAAAGTTAAAAATTCAGATCCTTGAGCAAGCTGGCCAGATTTCAGTTGCTCAGCAGTCACATGTGGCTTCAATTGTTGCAGAAAGCTCTACTGGGTAGCCCCGGGCTAAAGTAATCATTTCATTCTTCCTTTTTTCTCACCTTACCTAGTCTACAAAATGTACATGGTAAGTTCGGGGGTGAAATGAAAGCAAAACAGCCACAAATTGAAGGTATTCATGTGAGGCAAGATTTGAAGAGCTGGACACTCAGGAGAATCGTTTAAAAATCTAGCCCTTGGGGCTGGGGATTTAGCTCAGTGGCAAAAGCGCCTGCCTGGCAAGCGCAAGGTCGTGAGTTCGGTTCCCGGTACCGGAGAAAAACAAAAACAAAAACAAAAATCTAGCCCTTCTCTCCACTTAACCAAATCACACCTGTTTTTCTAGTTAGAGACCCAATATCTCATCTCTTTTCTTTCATTTTTCTCAGGCCACTCTTGCCCACAGTGACTTTGCCCGCTTGATGACAGTAACAGCTATACCTGCACGCCACACTCTGTGCGTCTGCTGTTCTGCAAAGGGGGTTGCCCGCCGCTGCAGCCATTCTAGAATCGTTCAAGACCCATGAGGACAGAAGTGTGACTCTGCTTGCTCACTCGGCACCCTTGGTAGACTCGCATATATCTCAGTGTTGTATTGAAACCACCAGGTCTCCTATCTGTCTCTGCCTGCCAGGTTTTACAGTCACACAGCACAGTGCCTGGCACATAGTTGGCACTCCACAACTGCTTGTCAAATGAATAACTGCTAGCAGAACTCTATACTGTCTGTTCTGCAGGAAGATGACACTGGTAAATGAATATGTGCAGAATAGACGCGTTAAGTGCATCACTGGGCGTGAGGCAAAGGTCCACGAAACCATTCTCACTCTGAGGCAGCAAGCTACTGTGAAATCACAGTTGAGCTTGGGCTCAGGCTTATAGTCAGGGGCAAGACCCAGTTTCCAGTCATGGTGAGGGGCAATCCTGGTGGGGGTAAGACTCAATATTGCTGGGGACAGAGATGAGATAGCTAAACTGTGTGACAGCAGGCTATGACTTGTCCTTCGCATCAGCACTACGCTCATGCCATTCAGTGCTATGTGGTGCCCTACGCTAGCACCACCAGCTACTGCTGCTCAGTTCACTTGCCCGCCTCTCCATACTGTGGGTTCTTGTGCGCAGTGCGAAACACTAAGATAACTCAGGTGTTGTAACTCATTTCAAATCCTGTCTCTCAATGCCATTCATTAGCTAAACACTCAATTATTTCGCCTTTCTCAGGCTTAGTTTCTTCATCTGTTAACATAATAATGAACATCATAATGTTACCTACATAATTATGTGCTATGGTCTGAATGTATATGTCCCTCAAAAGTTCATTTGTTGGAACTAAACTTCAAGGTGTTGGTATTAAGAGAAGGAGCTTTTTGGAAGGTGGTTGCTATGATTAAGTCATCCCTAACAAACGGATTATTAGTGCTCTTATAAGAAGAGATTGGAGGAAACAACCAAATGTCCTTTTTGTCCATCCATCCCTTCCGTAGTGTGAGGATACAGTGTTCATTCTCCCCAGAAGAAGCAACACTCGAGGTGCTATCCTGGAAGAAACAAGACTAGAAAGCTCTCACCGCACTGCAAACCTACCAGCACCTTGAGCTTGGACCCAGCTCCCAGAACTGTGAGAAATATAGTTTTTACTCTTTGTAAATTATCCAATCTCAAATATTTCAGTATAGCAGCAGGTACAGACTAAGACATTATGGTTGGGTGATTAAAAGAAATAATACATGTAAAATACTTAGCACAGTCCCTGTCCATAGTAGTTGCTTATTTAATGTCATTTTCTCCTTGGCCTGATCTGCCCCTTCCCCCATCTTTGGGTCTGGCCTCTGGCCTCCTGGAACTAATCAGAAAGGAAAGGCTCTGTCTTTGCCTTGCTCCATCCATGTCTTTCTTCTTAGTAGCCATAGAAACTGTTTATTATCTTATTCTCCAAAAGCACCAATCCCTGTTGGGGCTAATCTGATGAATGTGCTTGATCCTGGGATTTAATGGTGACAGTGGTTTGAGATTGTACTTCCCAGGTATGACATTCATTCTAACAGGACCTTTGGGAGAGGATGTCCTACCCCAAAGCAATATCAAATTCCACCTTTTCAAGCAAGGACACAATTCGGTGACTGATCCGGCTTCTCTACACAGAGCTCACCTTGTTTCACAATCAACTATGGAAGGGAACTTTCTGGCAATTTACAACTCAAAGTTCAATCGCAGGTCCAGCCACTGATGCCTCAGAGTGCAATACTGTTACAGCCCATTCCTCGCTGCGTGCCCCCCCATGATGGCACTGATGATAGCTAAAATGTATTTCACATGTGTTTATCCAGCACTGCTCTAAATCCTTTACCTATATTAACTCATTCAAATGTCACACCTACAAGGTAGGGCCTATTCTTTATCACCTCCATTTTACAGATAAGTCAACTGAGGCTAGCAGCGGTTAAGTGATTTTCCCAGGTCTGCCTAACCTCAAAGGCTAACCTCTCCCCTCACGGACATCATGAAGCAATTGTTCACTTCTTGGACCCATATATAACTTTATTTTCACCTTTATCATCTCACTCACTCTGCCTTGAGTTAGGAAGCAGTGAACTATAGGGAGTAAGCACATAGGTTCTGGAATAGGGCAGCTCTGTCATTTACTAAATGGGTAACTTTGGGAAAATTGCTAATCCTTTCTGGCTTTTAGGTGCCTCATGCAAAATAAAGGAGCACCTAACTCCCTGGGTTATTGGGAGGATTAAATAAATCAGTATCTATAAAGTACTTAGCACAATGCTTAGTTCTTATAGTGAGGTGAGTAGTGTATAATTGTTATGCCCTCTTGTGGAAATATGTGTATATATCTTACCAATATCTGGTGATAAGACTATGTCTTGTTTGTTTTTATGTTCTCCTCAGCAGTGCAGTTGACCAAAAAAATTATTCAGAAGTACTCATTGAATGACAGAAGAAATTGTA